GGATCTACGTCCTGAACCGCTTGGATAACAATAATGTGTCGCAGAATGCAAGAAATTACACTTTCTGTTACCAGGTGAATCTTTGTCATTGACGAAAAAATGAATGAGATTTTGACAAAGATTTTTTTGAGGATCAAGTCTATCATTGACTATGTGAAAAACAATATTGTCAATATCGTGCAAAAGTCTGTCAATGACAATGACAAATCTCAACACTGGTAGAAGTTATGCACAGAACTCCAAGCTCTCTCTAGAAGCTCTCTAATATTCTCCTGGAAATCCTTCAGTTTTGTTCAAAAGGAAAACAGGAACATCTTTGAAGTAGAGTTATCCCAAAAACAGGTTTGATTTCGAATTTTCTCCAATGACGATACACAGCCAAGGATCGGCTTATGTCGTTTTCGTTTTTGCGGTGCAGCACCGGCGTAGTGTAAGCAGGAATAAGCGCGATCCTTTGACAGCTCAACAACATTTGTTTGTAAACAAAGGTGCATCCTATATCTACACCCTAAATTATTTCGGTGTACGGCAGTGTAGCACCGGTTTAGCTACACCGCAAAAACGAAAACGACATAATGTAATCTAACACCAACACAGCCAGTTCTTGAAAGTATCCTGGAAAATGATATATAGGTCATTCCAGCTCAAGTGGAAACAGAATTTAAAAAAGTTGTGGTCGATGTCACCGATTTGAGCCAAACTTGGCCAAAACGCTTATTTTGGCATTCTGAATAAACGCCTTTCTTGATTTTGCTCTAAAGATCCTAGATCCTTCTGGGCTACAACCCTGTATTTTCGAGATTAAAAAAAATCAACTATCAAAAGAGATTGCTCCACAACCAAATAAGCTATTCGTGATCTTAGAACGTCAATTTGAAGGTTTTGTAAGGTTAATTATTACAAATGTACAAACATTTTGTCTTTTTTTATAGTAACTACAGTAAACAGGCTGATTGCCGGCAGGTATTAAAATTGTCAAAAAATGGCCTATTTTCACCATGGGCGGGATTTTTTATTTCTTAATATTTTGGGCTCAAATTTTTACCACACCTTGGAAAACTATTGTACTTGATATTTTTCCAAGGGTAAATGATTTGGACAAATGGTTTTTGAGACATGACCACATTGAGATCGATATATGCGTCTTTATTCCGCGGTTTGCTCTGATCTGATTAATTTACTAATTAAAAGCTATATAAACGTTGACCGTCTTCCTCCATTATTAGATTTCATTGCATTGCTTTACAATATTGCTGTATAAAGGTGAATACAGTCAACAAAATGGCTCTTATACCACTATGCGTCCATGTTTTAATGGCATGGTTTGTAAATGCTTTATAAACGACGTATTCATTCATTATTCCACAACACTGCCCGAATAGAAATTTACATTAGCCCAACGTTTGATTTTGATGTCTACATCAGCATCAAAATCAAATGTATGCCTGATGTCAAACATTAGAAAACATTATGATTTAGATGTATTTAAGCAACGTAACATGATGTATACATCAGAAATTTTGGAACAAAATTTTGCCATTCTAATGTTGGTCTGACGTCAAAAATTTCAATCTATTGACATTAGAACCAAACGTTTTAAGGATGTTTTCAGATGTACAAAACGTTAGAACTAAACGTTGTTCGGATGTTTTTAAATGTAAACGTTTTCTGATGTTTTCTAATGTAGATGTTTCCTGATGTTAGAAACAAACGTTTTTGGATGTTTTCAGATGTAAAAAACGTTAGAACTAAACGTTTTTCGGATGTTTTTATATGTAAACGTTTTCTGATGTTTTCTAATGTAGAGGTTTCCTGATGTTAGAATCAAACGTTTTTTGGTTGTTTTCGGATGTAAAAAACGTTAGAACTAAACGTTGTTCGGATGTTTTTATATGTAAATGTATTCTGATGTTTTCTAACGTAGATGCCTCCCGATGCTGGAACCAAACTTTTTTGGATGTTTTCGGATGTACACAACGTTAGAACTAAACGTTGTTCGGATGTTTTCATTTGTTCTTCGTGTTTGTTGTTCTCTGATGTTTTCAGATGTACAAAACGTTTAAAGTAAACGTTGTTTGAATGTTTTCAAATGTAGATGTTTACTAATGTTTTTAGATATACAAAACACTAGAATCTTACTTTTCAAATGCTTTCAATTATATTTACAACACATTAGAATTAGAAACATGATCGTGTAAACACTACACACCATTGTTGTTAGATAACATAATAAAAATGCGTACATAACAGTCAATGCTGAAGCTCCCGTTTCCCACCAGTCAGTTAACTGACCTTAGCTAACCTAATATCATTGCGGCAACTCTCTATGCGGCAGGGGAACTATGCCATTAGCGCGCTAAGAGTTATTAGACCACTGACATAGGCGCCAATTTGTAGGTGACGAGGCACTTGGTGACATTACAGCGAGCTTGACGATTGTAGCAGCATCTTTTTTAGTAAACTACCAGTTAAGGTGTGTAGTGTTTACAAGATCATGTTTCTAGCTCTAATGCTTTGTACAATTGAAAGCATTGGAAAAGTTAATTCTCATGTTTTGCAACCGAAACCATCAGAAAACATAAAATTGTACAAAAAAAAAACATCCATTCTGGTAGACTATCTCTTAAATGCATACAGAATAGCCATTGCTTAAGCTCCCGTTTCCCACCAGTCAGTTAACTGACCTTAGCTAACCTAATATCATTGTGGCAACTCTCTATGCGGCAGGGGAACTATGCCATTAGCGCGCTAAGAGTTGTTAGACCACTGACATAGGCGCCTATTCGTGGGTGACGAGGCACTTGGTGACATTACAGCGAGCTTGGCGATTGTTATAGCATTTTTGAGTGAACTACCAGACAATCATGACAATGTGATCGCTGCGCCTCCAGATCTCCCTTTAAATCGACCCACTGTGCCAATTTGTCAATAATGCATGACACTTTGGACGGGGTTGCTGGCTTGTTTGGTCCACTGTTCGGATATACAAGTGGCAAGCCTTCCCCTTCACGGATCGCTCCGAAATTGCTGCAAACGAACTGCAAATATATAATAAACAAAATTATTGTGCATGAAAAATATGACAATGGACAATGCTCGAGGAGCACTGGGAGTTTTCGAACTACGCGTGCTTAGGACCATCTTTGGCAGAGGGTATATGGAAATGGTGAATGGAGTAGAAGAATGTAGATAGACCTGGAATTAGGGCGTAACAGCCTTTGTAAACAATGGCTTCTCTTGTTGATTTCTCGGAATTCAAGACACGCCTACACAAACCAACATATCCATCGGGTAGTAGAAGTCTTTCTCTAATCGATGGTGATGTCGATTCGCCTGGGAGAGCCATGACTTCCGCGAAATCATCGAGAGAAGTCATTGATTACAAAAGCTGTTACGCCCTAGTTCTAGCTCTATTTAGGAATGAACCACGAACTGGCGTAACTTTATGGCGAACCCAATATCCAGAAAGTCGCTAAAAGTGGAAGGGTACAATGGGCGGGACACGTTGTAAGAATGCCGGACAACAATCCCGCAAAAATGGTGTTTTACTCAAATCCGGCCGGTACAAGACGCAGAAAAGTACAGTGTGCTAGGTGGTTAAACCAAGTGGAGCAAGATGTAGGAAGTGTGGGACGCTCGAGAAATTGGAGACAAGCAGCCAGGGACCGAGTTAGTTGGCGCAACTTGTTATACAGGTTAGGTTCCGAGGGACGTCGGATCAGCAAAAGTAAAGTAAGTATACAGACAAACAAACATAACACTCGCAAGATGTTCATCGTACAAGCATTTATCGGTCAATTTAAAAGTATCTTAGTTGGTAGTACCGCCACCTGTGGCGCGGATAGTCAATTCCCTTGCGTTTGACGTTTCCACACTACCGCCATCTGTTCAGCGTACTACCCACCACAGTGTACTCAACAGAGGGCGGTAATGTTTTAACGACGATGTTTTACAGTGAGAAATATTCAATGTGTTATGTCTGTTTGTCTGTGGTAAGTATCTTATACGTTGGCTAAATTGTTATCCAAACTGCCTAAAAGTTCGAAGAAATAGTTATTAGATAGTACAGAATTCTAAATTGGCATTATTTATGAAAAATTTACATTAGAATTCTTAAATCTCAGTCTTTCCCTGATTGCGAACCACACTTTAAATTTTATATAAACTTGCGACCCATCTTGTGTACCATCATAAGGCTTGATGAAACTTATTCCGCCCGGAAACATGTTTTTTCGGAATTATGAAGTCATTATAGGGTTAACTACCCCATTTTCGGCCTATTAAGCACAACCCGCACTTAGTCCTTCTTTATCTAGCGCAGTTTAGCACCAAACGGAATGTTATTATTACTGATGGCTTCCAAATTTATTTACCTTTCCGTATGTACCGTAAGATTTGATAAAGAGAAACCAATCGTTGAGATATTGTCAAAAGTCTAACACTGCTTCTTGACACCAAACTCGGCCTACGGATTCTAAACTCGTCCTAGCGCATTGAAAGATTGAAACGCCAATGAATTCACTTCGGCCTATCGGATGAAGATTAAACATTGTAATAATCATTGTATGTAGTCTACACTGGCTTGACGAAATGGAAATAAAGAATAAAGAATGAAGATAAAAATTGATTCGGTCGGAGCGCTTCTTTTGTTTTTGGGAATAATGAGTGCAAACCTTCATATCACGTGTTCTCATTGACTTCGTTCCGTAGCTTATTAAGGCTGTGAACCATTTGCCGAGTTAAATTTAACTCGTGGTTAAAAGTGACATTTCGAAAGTTATTTTCTATGTTCGAAAATCCCCGTGCTGTCGATCGACCGGTTTTCGAGCCACGGTTGTCAAAATTTAACTTCTTGTCTGTCAGAAATAACCATGCTCGGATAGCAGGGTTAATCGATAACTTTTCATCTGTCAAATTTTAACCAAAAGTTAAAATAATCCACCAAATGGTTCAGAGCCTAACTAAAGTATCGTACCAAATGCATAATTGAATTGACGAACTCTGAAATAATGGATTTCTATTGAAGTTTTCTGCTCGATAGGCCCAAAACGGGCGATTAGGCCGAAGTAGTTCTCTACCCTACGTTATTATGACATTTTGTATTTTTAAGTTACAAGAAGACGTTGCAAAGGATGAGTTTGACGTATGAAACCTGTGCATTTAGTTTTCAGAGAGTCGCAATCAGCGAATTATTCATTAAATCACTTATGGCTGTAAGCTCCAATCGGTATTATCCTCGGATTAAATCCCGATCAAGAATGTCCGGCTGCTTTGATGTCGACATCAGAGTTATTCAACATCCAAACAGGGACGGTATTAAAAGTTAATCCGAGTTGGAGCTTACCGCCATTATTGCGGCTCTCTGAATTCAATATTAATAGGTTGAAAAAATGGTTTAAAAATGGAACCTAAATCCAAAATTTCATAAATTTTGGTTCACATGAACTATGATAAATCAGTGTTATTACATTTGCAAACATCACCATTTTAGCGGCCCTCGCCATAGAGCGAACTGTCATTCAAAAGGATATTAATGTCATCTAATGCAATTTATCGACAATTTAAATCTTGGTTTACAAATCGAGATGAATGTCTATGGGAACTATAAAAATATATTTGTGCTCAGAAAACGAAGCTCGTTCAGATGATGTATATAAATTTGTTTGTTTTTCGAAATTATACAACCCAATTCCAGGAAACGATAACTAATGGATACGTATTCGGTTTCCCCATCAGGATACGTATTCGGTTTCCCAATCAGGATCCGTATTCGGTTTCCCCATCGGGATTCGTATTCGGTTTCCCCATCAGGATCCGTATTCGGTTTCCCCATCAGGATTCGTATTCGGTTTCCCCATCGGGATCCGTCTACGGAATCCCCATCGGGATCCATATTCGGTTTCCCCATTGGGACCCGTATTCGGTTTTCCCATCGGGATCCGTATTCGGTTTCCCCATCGGGATCCGTATTCGGTTTCCCCGTCGGGATCCGTATTCGGTTTCCCCGTCGGGATCCGTCTACGGAATCCCCATCGGGATCCGTATTCGGTTTCCCGATTGGGACCCGTATTTGGTTTTCCCATTGGGATCCGTATTCGGTTTTCCCATCGGGATCCGTATTCGGTTTCCCCATCGGGATCCGTATTCGGTTTCCCAGTCGAGATCCGTCTACGGAATCCCCATCGGGATCCGTATTCGGTTTCCCGATTGGGACCCGTATTCGGTTTTCCCATCGGGATCCGTATTCGGTTTCCCCATTGGGACCCGTATTCGGTTTTCCCATCGGGATCCGTATTCGGTTTCCCCGTCGGGATCCGTCTACGGAATCCCCATCGGGATCCGTATTCGGTTTCCCGATTGGGACCCGTATTTGGTTTTCCCATTGGGATCCGTATTCGGTTTTCCCATCAGGATCCGTATTCGGTTTCCCCATTGGGTTCCGTATTCGGTTTCCCCATCGGGATCCGTATTCGGTTTCCCCATCGGGATCCGTATTCGGTTTCCCCGTCGGGATCCGTCTACGGAATCCCCATCGGGATCCGTATTCGGTTTCCCGATTGGGACCCGTATTTGGTTTTCCCATTGGGATCCGTATTCGGTTTTCCCATCAGGATCCGTATTCGGTTTCCCCATTGGGTTCCGTATTCGGTTTTCCCATCGGGATCCGTATTCGGTTTCCCCATCGGGATCCGTATTCGGTTTCCCCGTCGGGATCCGTCTACGGAATCCCCATCGGGATCCGTATTCGGTTTCCCGATTGGGACCCGTATTTGGTTTTCCCATTGGGATCCGTATTCGGTTTTCCCATCGGGATCCGTATTCGGTTTCCCCATCGGGATCCGTATTCGGTTTCCCCGTCGGGATCCGTCTACGGAATCCCCATCGGGATCCGTATTCGGTTTCCCGATTGGGACCCGTATTTGGTTTTCCCATTGGGATCCGTATTCGGTTTTCCCATCAGGATCCGTATTCGGTTTCCCCATTGGGTTCCGTATTCGGTTTTCCCATCGGGATCCGTATTCGGTTTCTTCATCGGGATCCGTATTCGGTTTCCCCGTCGGGATCCGTCTACGGAATCCCCATCGGGATCCGTATTCGGTTTCCCGATTGGGACCCGTATTTGGTTTTCCCATTGGGATCCGTATTCGGTTTTCCTATCTGGATCCGTATTCGGTTTCCCCATCGGGATCCGTATTCGGTTTCTTCATCGGGATCCGTATTCGGTTTCCCCGTCGGGATCCGTCTACGGAATCCCCATCGGGATCCGTATTCGGTTTCCCGATTGGGACCCGTATTTGGTTTTCCCATTGGGATCCGTATTCGGTTTTCCCATCAGGATCCGTATTCGGTTTCCCCATTGGGTTCCGTATTCGGTTTTCCCATCGGGATCCGTATTCGGTTTCCCCATCGGGATCCGTATTCGGTTTCCCCGTCGGGATCCGTCTACGGAATCCCCATCGGGATCCGTATTCGGTTTCCCGATTGGGACCCGTATTTGGTTTCCCCATTGGGTTCCGTATTCGGTTTTCCCATCGGGATCCGTATTCGGTTTCCCCATCGGGATCCGTATTCGGTTTCCCCGTCGGGATCCGTCTACGGAATCCCCATCGGGATCCGTATTCGGTTTCCCGATTGGGACCTGTATTTGGTTTTCCCATTGGGATCTGTATTCGGTTTTCCCATCGGGATCCGTATTCGGTTTCCCCATCGGGATCCGTATTCGGTTTCCCAGTCGAGATCCGTCTACGGAATCCCCATCGGGATCCGTATTCGGTTTCCCGATTGGGACCCGTATTTGGTTTTCCCATTGGGATCCGTCTACGAAATCCCCATCGGGATCCGTATTCGGTTTCCCGATTGGGACCCGTATTTGGTTTTCCCATTGGGATCCGTATTCGGTTTTCCCATCGGGATCCGTATTCGGTTTCCCCATTGGGTTCCGTATTCGGTTTTCCCATCGGGATCCGTATTCGGTTTCTTCATCGGGATCCGTATTCGGTTTCCCCGTCGGGATCCGTCTACGGAATCCCCATCGGGATCCGTATTCGGTTTCCCGATTGGGACCCGTATTTGGTTTTCCCATTGGGATCCGTATTCGGTTTTCCTATCTGGATCCGTATTCGGTTTCCCCATCGGGATCCGTATTCGGTTTCCCGGTCGGGATCCGTCTACGGAATCCCCATCGGGATCCGTATTCGGTTTCCCCATTGGGACCCGTATTCGGTTTTCCCATCGGGATCCGTATTCGGTTTTCCCATCGGGATCCGTATTCGGTTTCCCCATCGGGATCCGTATTCGGTTTTCCCATCGGGATCCGTATTCGGTTTCCCCATCGGGATCCGTCTACGGAATCCCCATCGGGATCCGTATTCGGTTTCCCCATTGGGACCCGTATTCGGTTTTCTAATCGGGATCCGTATTCGGTTTCCCCATCGGGATCCGTCTACGGAATCCCCATCGGGCTCCGTTTACGGAACCCGTCATCGGGCTTGTAGCTTTTAGTAAATACACTGACTAACCTGCAGTATGTCGAGAGATCTGGCTGCAAACTCCCCGCCCGGGATCCAGCTTCGGATTCCCTACCGGAATTCGGCTTGGGACTGGTACTTTCCTAAAAAAAAACATAATTACATTACATTAAATTAATAAATTCACATTTACTTACCAGAAAAACATTGCATCGCCACCAAAACTCGCGACGGACACATTGTCGGCACTTTCCCGGGCTAATTCGTACACGGTAAGAAAAAAGTACCCAAAATTGAGTTCCTTTCACTCATCACGTGGCTTCCGTGGGGCTAGGTAAAATTAAGTTAAAGAAGAAAACTCAATTTTGAGTAATCCTGGCGTTGACCAAGTTGACAAAAAAATAATAAAACGGGGCAGACTGGAACAGAACCATGGACGTTGAGATCACGGGGCCCGTGTGTTGACCACTCGTCTATCAACGCTTGTGAAGATAAAGTGGTTAAAGGCGCATAAAAGCAACCTCAATGAAAATAAACTTATATTTGAGTTTATTTATTATTACTCAATAGTTGAGTAAATTTTAACCAACGCCGCTTTTCTGATTCACTCAACAGCGGACCTCAAATGATATAACCCAACGTTGAGTTTTTTTTAACTTAATTTTGAGTATTTTTTCTTACCGTGTAAACAAATCAAACTTTTCCCACTGCGAAAAAAAACTGTACACGGCCAATGAGATCAACGCAAATTTGAGTACAGTGTACTCAATATCGAAAAAAGTGCAGGATGAGTAAATTTGCCGCATGTTTTCCTGTGGAAAACCTCAAAAATCTGCCCTAAAATAAGGAAAATTTACGAGAATCCAGAGAATCCAATCTTTGCTTTTCTCATATTCGGAACATGAGGGAAATTAATTCAAAACTGAGTTCCTGCACTTTTTGCGATTTATGAGTGAACTAACCTCAAATTTGGGTCGTTCTCATTCGCCGTGTAGTGCTGACTCAGGACAAAACAAACTTTGCATGCGGCGAGAGACCGAGGGACAACAATTTACATCGTGATGAACTTTGATTCTAATGTAACGTTTGGTTCTGTTGTCATTGGATGTATTCTGATGTTTTATGCGTGCAACAAATTACATCGTGATGATGTTTGATTCTAATGTAACGTTAGGTTCTGTTGTCATTGGATGTATTCTGATGTTTTATGCGTGCAACAAATTACATCGTGATGATGTTTGATTCTAATGTAACGTTAGGTTCTGTTGTCATTGGATGTATTCTGATGTTTTATGCGTGCAACAAATTACATCGTGATGATGTTTGATTCTAATGTAACGTTAGGTTCTGTTGTCATTGGATGTATTCTGATGTTTTATGCGTGCAACAAATTACATCGTGATGATGTTTGATTCTAATGTAACGTTAGGTTCTGTTGTCATTGGATGTATTCTGATGTTTTATGCGTGCAACAAATTACATCGTGATGAAGTTTGATTCTAATGTAACGTTAGGTTCTGTTGTCATTGGATGTATTCTGATG